ATTTTTATGATTCTCATGAGAACAGTAAAATTTATTACCTTCATTGACCGTTCACTATGGAATATCCATTGTTAGAGCCTAATCTTTAAAACGTATGTCATGAAATTTTGGTTTTGAATTTTGGCAAACAAATGTGAGGCATTTGAAATATACCTTCTTCTTCTAGTGCCGTCTCCACTAATGAAGGTTGGCTATAACCTTTACAAATTCGTCTCTATCTATTGCTTTTCTTAAGAGCGTCTGTGTGCTTAATCCGGTCCAGTCGAGAATGTTTTTCAGCCAGGATATTTGTCGTCTACCAGAACCCCCTTTTTCCTTTGATTTTACCCTTCATAATCAGCTGCAACAACTCGTACTTATCATTTCTATGTGCTCCAAATATGCTGTCTTCCGCCTGTCGGTGGTCAAAAGTTCTCTCTCTTCTCATTCTGTGCAACACCAGTGTTGCGTAACAACAACATTTAATATTTTTAGTTTATTTTTGTATCATATTATTATATCATAGTGTATATTAGTTTAGATTTATAAAATTTCTTTGTACTAACTAATAATCTGTAAAGCGCCGATAGCTTGCATTCAAATAACTTTCTACACAAGTTTCTAAAACCTTCATAGAATCGTAACAATGAAAGGATTAGTATTTTCCAAATTATCCGTTTGACTCATTCAAAAATTCCGAAAGTTGAGACAAATACCCTTCTCAAGTAGTTTTTACCAATGAATTCAAAGTCGAAGGTATTTGAAAAATAAACATATATCTTTTAAATACGTCGAGGGGCTCAGGGGGGAGATTTCTGAATGTTTAGAAACAATTACGAGAGTAGTGATGGAAGGGAGAGAGTGGACATGTTGACATTTGACAGCTTTGGATGAAGGCTCTATTCGCGCAAGCCACACCTAAGAAGCTTTAACACCGTCGTATTATTAATAAGTTTACTTAGTTCGGGTTAATATTGTATCACCGACAAGTGTGTATCGCAAGTTATCGGCGTCCAAATACATTGTAATCGTTTAAATAGACTTGTTAAAACGTTCTTTACTAGTCTTTCATTTGTCCCAGTTTTCTGGGTGGTCCTTCAAATGAGTACATAAAGTGAAACTATTTCCCTAAGGAAAAAAACTTGTTCCCCAAGGGAAAAAACAGCGACCTATGACTGGTGCGCGAAACAAAGCCATCAGGACAAGGTGTAAGGACAAACACACCTGCATCTTCGCTCAACCAGTTCGTTCGTAATATGATCGATCCATGGTATCTTCAAAATTCTCATAAAAAGCCACATCTCAAAAGCTTCCAGTTTTCTCATTAAGTCAACATTAACAGTCCAGACTTCGACACCATAAAGAAGAATAGAATGGATATAACATTTTACCATCCGATATCGGATTTACAGATTGAGTCTTTGGTTACTTAGAAATTTCCTCATCTTCAAAAAGGCTGCTCTTAATTGCTCTATTTTTGAGCGAATTTCTGATTTCGGATTCAGATCTTCGGTAATCCAGACTACTAAAGTTTTTCATTTTGTCTCCACTTGCTCAATATCTTCATTTTTTATCTGGATCCTTGTAATGACTTTGCCCTTCTTACTGATAACTTCTATGGTTTTTGTTTTCTGTATGTTTATTGTTAAACCAAACTGTTCCCCAGTATCACAAATTGTGTTTAGTAACGTCTACAGGTCTGTCTCACTTTCAGCGATAATGACTGTATCGTCAGCATAACGGATGTTATTTATATTTTCACCATTTATCTTGATCCCTTCTGTACAGTTTTCAAGTACTTGCATAAATAACTCTTCGGAATATATATTAAATAGTAATGGTGAAAGTACACAGCCCTGTGTCACTCCTCTACTTATCTGTTGCGCATCCGTGCTATTTCCATCTAATGTTACCACAACCTGTTGGTTCCAATAGAGATTTCTGACTATGTTAATATCATTTTTGTCCAGTCCTTTTCTCTTTAGACATTTCATGAGAATGTTATCTTTGACTTTGTCGAAAGCCTTCTCATAGTCTATAAATGCAACGAAAAGATCTTTTTGTTGGTCTCTTTTCGGCAAGAATTGTGAAACTATACAGAGCTTCCACTATTCCGAAGCCGTTACGAAAGCCAAACTATCTATTTCTCATATTCGCTTCGCACTTTCTGAATATTCTTGGATTTATAAATCTTTAAAAATGTTTTTAATAAGTGTGACATTATGCTGATTAATCTATAGTCATTACAGCGTTTGGGGTTCTTGGTTTTTGGTAACGGAACAAAGGTCGATAGCAGCCATTCTGTAGGTATCTCACCGGATTTGTATATATTGTTAAAGAGTATAGTTATTGCACTTACAATTGTCTTCGTATATAAGTTTAACCAGCTCGATATCAACTTCATCTGGCCCATGGGCTCTGCCAGATTTTAAGTTGTTTATAGCATGTTGGGCTTCAAATTTTAATATTATTGGAGCTTCCTCGTTATCAATTTGTGTTGGTTCCGCTCTTGTGCCCATGAAAAGATCCTCAATATATTTAGTTCATACTTGTTTTATTTCAGAGTTCATATACCTAGGGACATCGGTTAACCCCAACAATAATACATCTGAGGAAATAAAAAGGCGAATAATAATTGCAAACAGGTGTTATCATGGTCTATCAAAGTACTTAGCTAACAAACATCTGTCTTAAAAAACTTGTATAAGGCTGTATTGAACACTGATAGTCCCCGTTCTCACATATGGATCAGAGGCATGGACGCTAACTAAAACAGATGAATCCGCTCTATCGATTTTGAAAGAAAGGTGCTACGCAAGATATTCGGAGCGGTCTGTGAGAACGGAATATGGAGGCGTAGATATAACTTTGAACTGCAGAATATCTACAAGCATACGTTTGGTGGTAAAGATATTACCACTATAATTAAGCGAAAGCGCCTGTAGTGGACAGGACATGTAGCCCGGGCGCCTGAATCGAACATGATAAAAAAGATTCTAATAGCGCAACCCGTGGGAATGAGAAGACGGGGTAGACCAAAGCTGAGGTGGATGGATGAGGTAACACAAGATGCGGAGATGATCGGAGTCGGTAACTGGAAAATGCAAGCAAGAATGGCGTAGAAAGCTTGAGAAGGTCGAGGCCCTCTAAGGGCTGTAGCACCAAGATGATGATGATGATTGTTATTAATAGGTTTATTGTTTTTGTCAATTAATCGGTTAGGTGTATATGTTTGTGATTTTCCAGATAATTCTTTCACTTTTTTATGTAAATTATAATGATCATGCTTGGTAGACTCGGTTTCTTGAATTTTTTATTTGTCTCCATATAGAGTAGTCATCTGGAGAGAGATTGTTAATATAAAAATTGAAGATGTCATTACAATTCTTTCAGCTCATCAGATTCTTTTATTCGATGATTTAACGGTATATTCGTGTTAATGGGCTTTCAAATTGTTCCCAGTGTTTGTTTTTTGTTAGATAGTCTTAATGGCTGTTGATTGTATATTATAGTTGTGATTATTGGAGTTATAATGGCGCTATGGTCTGACCTTAGGTGAAAACTAGGCTCTATTTTTGAATGCGTATTAGGTAAACCTTTAAATATTGCAAAATCAAGAAGATCCGGAATTTTGTTATCTGCTGGCCAGTATGTTGGTTGTCCCGTGGATATGAAGAATGAATTGTTTTTCTGTAATGATCGAGGTAGGTTTCTACCTTTCGTTGTAGTTAGTCGTGATCCCCATAGATTATTTTTGGCATTTCAATCGCCCGCTTCAAGGAAGTGCAAATCAAGGGTTTGGAAGAAGATGTCGTAATCTTCAACTAGGATATTATGTCTAGGAGATGAATAAATAGCTGCGACAATCGATGGCCATGAGAACGTTTCTTTTCTGATTAAAATGCTGTTTTATGTTTAACAGATGATCTGACTATGATCGCCGATCCTTCATGGGCTGTTCCGTCGGGATGGTGGGCAAAATATGTTGTGTAAAATGGAATTTTGACAACAGTTCTATCAGTTGCTAATAATATATCTATTTTGTTAAATTTTAAAAATAACGTTATTTCTTGGACATGATGTAATAGGCCGTTGGCATTCCAGGCCGCTATTCTTATTTGATTAGCCATTAACTTGTTATTTTGCTTATGGTTGTTAGCATGTTGAGGGTCATGCTGTTCTCATTAAATAACATTTTAAATTAATTTAGGAAGTCTGACATTAGCGTAGTTATATCTTTATTATTACTGTTTTCATTTTGCCTTTGACGATTTCCTGAAGCGACTTGAGAATAAATACCGTTACATGTGATTGGCTGCTGCACTGTGTTTTCTGGGTTGTACGCTATATTGTATTCTGGTATTTTTTATGTGTTTAATTTACATTATTCCTGTTTCTCTGTTTTACTAGGTCTCTATATACAATGCAACATATGTAATTGACTGAATGGCTACCATTACGTAAAGCTCAGATTGCAGGAGTATTTTTAGGTTTAACATGTTTTTGTATAATGGAGACCACCACATTTTACGCAATTATATGCTTTTAAGAAATTTGATTTGGAGTGCCCATATGCCTGGCATCTGGTGCACTGGATTATACTATTCTTTTGTCTTGGAGCCTCTACATTAATATTACATATGCATTTTTATTATTTGTGTTAGGTCACATCATTTGTTGGGCATCTTTTTTAAGGTCCCAAAATTGACATTCTCATCAAAATTCAACTTGTTCATATGATTTTTATAGGTCAAAGTTGTGACCTTGTGACGAATGGACAATAACTAAATATTTAAAAAAATATTTGCCCTTCTAGGTATTTTGCATTTTTTTAGCCATTTTAGCCATTTTTAGTCATTTTAGGCTATTTGTATATTTAGATGTTTTAATTTGAATAATTTATGTCAGAAAAACTTTGTAAACCATCTTCTATAAATTGTTTTGCGCATAGTTTTATTTTATTTATTTAAAATACTGGAATTAATGTTTTCACACTTAATTTAAACGTAGTATGTTTGCAGGCTATTGAAAAATATAAAGAAGGTATTAGATTGATAGACGAAGCCTTGAGTATACAAGTCCAATGTCCAGAAAACCCCGATATCACATGGGAAAAAGCACGCGTAATGATTCAAAAAATTAAAAAGACGAGAGCTGAAGTGATAACACGTATTAATTGTATTCAGGGTCCGTCCAGTGCTTATTCGAGTATTTTAAGTGAAGATCCACCATCGTACGAAGAAGCTATGTCTTCTACGGACGACGAAGGACCAGTAACATACAAAGATTTAGCTACGGCACTAAGAGATTTGAGCGTCGATCCGAATCAAAATATTCACGAAGAAGTTGTTTATACTCATGATAATGTTAGAGTTTATTTTATTTCTCCTAATGGAGAAGTGGTTTCGACATTACAACCGGAGGTTTTGACAATATCACTAGTTAGAGGTAAGTTTTTATTCATATGTTTAGTTTGGTGCTTCTTATTTTCTTCTATATTGTTACTGTACGCTCTTCGCAAAAGAAAACGAGAAAATGTGGAATTCAAAGTGATAGCATTGTGTACAGGGTGTCCCAAATTAATATGTTTTGCAGGGTATACCGAAAACTAGAGGAGATAGAAAAAAAGTAGTTAATATGTCATGACTTCTTTTTTCGTTAAAGTAATTAATTGCCTCGAATTTCCCAAGTCTTTCTTGCCATTCAGTCCCTAATACTCATTAACAAATATTGTCAGATTGTCGCACCAATTTTTCTTACATACTCCGAGCCTGTGACAAGGATTCGGGTGATTCTTTCTAATGTGATAGTGTCTCATCTTCCTATTTTTATGGTAGATAAATCTCATCATCTTAGTCTTGCTATTTTTATGAAAGATGTCACGTATTTGTTATATATTTCATAATTGAACCTTCTCCAGATGCTATTTTCACATATGCTATGATATCTCTCGGGATTCTTCTTTCAAAGACGAGTATAAAGCATTCTTCCTTGGAGATAGACCATGTTTCGGTTCTTTCCTAGAATTATTCTCTGTATTATCCTGTTGTTGGATGATAATGTCATTACTTTATAAAATACTCTTAACTTTCATCTTATACGGGCACTCAAGTCCAAATCGTTATTATTATTAAAAATAGTTTCCTGGTGGTCTATTACTGCTTTTCTCGACTGTTAAAAGGGAGACACGTCCAAACACCTTCTTGTCATATTTCGATATGTATTTCAAACTTATGTATTCAGCCTGTATTTGTATTTGGTGTTCGCTTTCTAGATGTTATTTGCTGGGTGACTGTAGGAAAGCCAGATGTTCTTCGAAATCAACTTTCAGGTAGGACACCAACCCTCTGAAGTAAAGTCTTTATTCATTGAGCATTATTTGGTTCTCATCTTTTACACATCGAAATGAGCCAGGAGAAGTATCTGAACATATCTCCATTTATTACACCATTTGACTATTTTGTGTAATTGTGCTTGGGTCTTTAAAGGACAAGAGTACTCTTTTCCCAATTTATTAACCATCGTGTTAAAACATGAGGCGTTGTAGTTTTCAGTACATGTCAAGTATGACAAAAAACTTTAATTTGTATATCGATGTTTTCAAACATAGACTTGAATATAGAAAATATCGGTATATTTATGACTAAGGTAGACTTTGGTAGGGTCCTTTCTGAGCCCTTCAGAGACACACCTCTTAAGACCATTGTGATACGATTGTATCACCCCATATTATCCAGTTAGGGACTGCGATGATCCCGTCTTTGGAACGTCTTGAAACGCAGTTATTCCAAGTCTCCTATTGTCCACTTAGTTCAGCAGCCATCTAATCCCTTTCACAGAAAGCCGCAAGCGTTCTTAAGGGTATCTTCTTCCCTTTGTTCGGCTGAACGAAATCCGAACTAAGGTTTTGCCACTTCTCACTGGCTATTTTTGGCACCTACGTAATAAGAGGAGGTTTTTCTTCGTCCTTACATAGATGGCACCTTACGTTATCTACCAATCAAAGTAGGTGTATGTGCGTCTAAGTATACAGTGATTATACTGACCGCCAGTGAGCACCTATAACTATCGCAGCGGTAGTTAGGGCCTTTTTGCAGTCCAGAACTAGCCTGGAGCTAGTTCTGGGTGCTTCTATGACCTTTAGATCTGCTTCATCATCAGGGCGGATAGGAATGGTCCTGTTAAGTCAAGAAGCGGTATCAACTATCTCGTAAGATCACGTAAGAACTTTAGAATTTTTCTTCGAAGTCTTGCTAAATTTTTTTTTGTGTTTTCTCTCATTTTCCATGTCTTTTATCCACATATTATTAATTATGGTTTTATGGATTGTCGGTGTACACTTTATTTTTTGTTGCCCTTCTGTATTTTTTTTAATGTCTGCTCTCCAGTTTCCTTTTTTACTGTTGCAACATCGTCATCTACTGAAGTTTTGTTCTATTTCACTTTGTTCTTATCTTTTTAGTGTTTTTGTCTTTTGTATGTTTATTGTAAGTGACTAATATTCTCTGCTTGACTTTTTTATTGTTTATATATTTTCGCCCGCCAACTATATGGTATGTTAGAGTCATCAGCATAGGCGGCAAGATATTTTATTTGCAAGATTGATATGTTTGTTAGATGATTGGCTGTTTTGATGGCAAATTAGAGAGCCACTTCAATAGTGTCGTGTTCAGCCCGTTAGTCTTATTAATATTTAGAAGCTGTCAGTAAGTTCTTTTTGTATGTGGATAATATGTTATTTTAATACTTGGATATATTTCCAAAAAATGTCGAAGGGGTAGCGTCTTAATAACTAGCTCCTGTTGATTAAGTTATAGGTCTGTATGTAAATAGATAGTTACCTTATTACAACTTTTAAGATTGAATACGTTCACAATTTCACAGTAGGGTGAGGTTTAAAATACGCTGCAACTTTATTTTCTTTATACATATTTTAGGTACTGAACCAAACGCACCTGCAGCTATTCTACAAGTAGGAACATGGGTGTATCCATTGGTTCCTGGTGTATCTCCTTGTTTTAGAACCGATTATGGAGCATTTGTACTTCCGGACGTAAATGCTGATGTTCCTGGTAATTTTTCATTATTAATAATAAAAGTAAATTATCTACCAATAATAATATATTGTAGGTTCTTCAGTTGGGATTATTTTACCATCTGATGCCGATCAAGAGGTGTTTGACCTCTTGGAAAGCATTCTTCATGGTATTATAGGTTCCACACCATCGGCAGAAGATATTAGGAGCTGGAGAGAAAGGAGAGCAACCGCACAATCGGAAGATTATAGTACATATATTTCTAATAAAATTGTTGACGGTAAGTTTTCATTGAAATATGGTTGTATGTTTTTTTGATATTTGCGAATTGGTTACTATAATTTGAAAAGGGAATCTAGATTATATACAGAAATTAAATCAAGTTGAGTACTTAAGTATATAATTTTACTACTTCTTCTTTTCGTGTCTATTAGTTTCGAATATTGGCGATCATTCTGGTTATAATTATTTTATTAACAGATGCTTTAAATAGATTAGTTGTTGTTGTGAAGAACCATTTCCTCAGGTTTTTTAACCATGATATTCTTCTTCTCCCAATTTACTTGAATACTTTCTCTTGAAGGATTATTTTCATTAATCTGTATTTAGTGCCGTTTCTCATTATGTGTCTGAGATATTCTAACTTTCTCCTTTTAATCGTATACATCACTTCTCTTTCTTTTCCCATTCTTCGTAGTACAGTCTCGTTGGATATTTTGTCCGTCCATAATATCCTTAGGATTCTTCTGTAAAGCCACATCTCGAAGACTTCAAGTTTTTTCTCCATCGCTTCAGTGAGTGTCCAGGAGTCAACTTAGTAGTATAATACCGAAAAGATATAACATCGTAGGAGCCTTACTTTTACCTCCAGATTAGGGTTGTGGCTTTTAAAGAGTTTGGCCATGTTGTAGAATACACTCCTAGCCTTTTCTATTCTACATTTTACTTCTTGTGAGTGATCCCATTGTTCGTTTACTATTATTTCAAGATAGGAAAACTGTTTTACTTGGTCTACTGTTGAATTCTTGATAAGCAGTTGGACGTCTCTAATTTTATTTTTGCTGATGACCATAAATTTAGTTTTTGATATGTTTACTTGTAGTCCAAATCTTTCACTTACTTCGTTTACTTTGTTTATTAGTTGCTGTAAACTATTTAAACTGTCTGCAAAAATAACGGTGTCATCTGCAGGATAGATTAGGCTTTCTTCATTTAAAAGGATTATATGTTCGCAATTTTCCAAGGTTTCTCTAAATATTTTCTCTGAATACAGGTTGAATAATATAGGTGAAAGTATACACCCTTGTCAAATGCCTCGCAGAATCTGGATTGCTTCCTTCGGTTCATCTCCAATATTTGTTCTTATTGTGGCTGATTGCTGATTGATCCATCATTTTACGATGTTGAACTGTGTCAAATATTTTTTGGTAGTCCAAGAAGCAGGTGTAGATACCGCAAGTCATATCTCTGCATTTTTGAAATAATACCTGTAGACTAAACAGTTCATTTTTCGTACCTACGCCTTTAATGAATCCAAACTGTGTGTATTGTATTCTTTCTTCGCCTGTATATTCTGCGATGTATAATTTTAAGAAAAAGTTTTAATGTATGGCTCATTAGACTTATTAGCCTATATTCTCTGCACTTTTAGCCAATCTTTTGGAATATTGCCTCTGTCATAGATATTACTGAATATTGTAGATAGTATTCTTAAAGATTCATCATCAAGAAATTGAAGAAATTCAGACTTACTCCGTTTGGTGCTAGATGGCCCCCTTCTTTTAGTGATATTATGGTTACTCTTATTTCTGACACTAGTATAGGTGGTCCTGTTTCTGTAGGTATTGGGAACTGGTTCTCCTCTCATCAAAAAATAAATTTCGTATATAATTTTTCCATTATCTCTCCATTGTCATTAACAAGTTTACTTACTCTTCTGTTTTTACATTTGCCTGTAATGTCTGTTACCTTTTGATGCACGTTGAAGTCGTCGTATTTACTTTGCAGAATTTTGATTTCTTGTAATTTTTTTCTAATTCTTTGTTTGGCTTCTCTGATCACTCTCTGTATATCTCGTAATGTTTTATACATAGAGTTTTGTTCTTGTTTTTCCTTTTTTCTTCCATCAGTTGCAGAATCTCTGTCGTCATTCATGTCTTATTCTTACCTTTTTCGTTCTTTATAAAATTGTCTTTAACGTCGCGTCGTCTATCGTTTTATTAAGGGATTTTATCTTCTCTTCTGTGCTTTTCGTTGTATTCTCGATTTCTTTGAATTTTCTATTTATTGTTTTGCTGACTATTTCTTTTACTTAACTACATTTCAGTTTTCTCATGTCATGTTTTTTTTACAGTTTTTCCACGTGTTTTCTTTAACTTGGTTCTTTACACGACAGTTCTACCCACTAAATGATTGTGATCAGATTGAATATCAGCGCCTGGGTAGGTTTTAACACTGTTGAAACCATTTCGATATCTTTTGTTAACAAGTATATAGTCTATTTGGTTTCTTACAATAACGTCTTCTCCGTTGTCTCTAGGTGATTTCCACGTATACAGGCGTCTAATGGTAGTTTGTAAAATGTTTTTAGCGCGATTAAGTCATCTTCAGCTGCAAAGATAGTACTATGATTTTACTATATACTATAGTACTATGATAATACTATAATTTCACTATTAAGAAGTTAGTATTTTTCATTAATCTTCAATAATTTTCTTATTTTTCGTTTTAATTAAATATTAATGAAGAACGAAGTCTTTGGTCGCTTTAGGCAGGGTTCTCCGAGTGCTGTCAACTCAAGTCACTGCCGATTTAATTTTGGAGAAGTGATGGATCCATGTTTCATCCACTGTAACATACCGACGCAAAATCTTCGACTATTCCGATTAAACATGTGAAAATAGCGCAGAGATTCATCAATTCATTGTTGTTTTTGCTCTTGTGTGACAAAAAAGGCACCCATTTGGAAAACAGCTTTCTCATACCCAAATGTTCATGTATAATAGTCAAAATGCTACCAAGTGTCAGCTATCTTTTGTAACTTCAGTTTGTCGTTTTGCTTAATAATTGTCAGCATTTTTTCGATGCTTTTGGGAACAAAAGAGGTGTGTGGAGAAGAATAGTAAACGCATACGGGGTAACTAGACAATAAAAATTGTTTTTGTGAATTTTAATATAATGTAAATTGTATGTAAATAATGTAATGTAAAATTTGTGAAATTTAATAATTTAAAGGACCATTCGTTCAATGCCTACAAGACCTATTGAGAAACTAAATAAGTAGTTTAAACATGTCAAAAATCAATTTTCATAATGGAATAGCAACTAAAACAAACAAAAATGTTGCCAAATATGGTTTGAAAATGTAGTTTCCTCATTATGGATCAACTTAGTTTCTTGTAACGATTTAAGCAGAACGGTGAATTGTGGTTGCATATATAAGATGTACTCGTTATGAAATTTAAAAATATATCGTGTCACCAGCCTCTAAATATTTTTTTGCAGGAGCCTTTTTGGTCTCTCGAGGTCTTGTTCGGGGCGCAGAAAAGGCCGGCGATTTCTTTAACAGAACCACCCCAACAATTATTAATAAAGTACAACCAGCAACAGAACCTGCTAATGTTCCCCCTACTTTAGCTAAAACGATACATGTAGCAGAAACGGCAACAAATAAGGCAGCTAGGGTTACTGGCTTTATTGGTGAGTTTTTTTAGATTGCTTATAATTTTTTGTTTTTTAAAGTGAATCACCCAATTGTCTTAGGGTATTTTATATATATATATATATATATATATATATATATATATATATATATATATATATATATATATATATATATATATATATATATATATATATATATATATATATATATATATATATATATATATCGGAAAAAGGAGTACGACCGTCAATCCAATATATATATATATATATATATATATATATATATATATATATATATATATATATATATATATATATATATATATATATATATATATATATATATATATAAGGATCACTAAGACGAGTGGTGGGTTCTTATATCGGTCTCTAGTGGAGAAATAAAAGACAAAGTTGATAGGCTACTTTATCTATTTTGAAGACGTTTCGCTTTCGAGTTTTGAAAACATCATCAGTTCATCTAAAAAATTTTACAATATGAGAACCACACAATCATGGAAACGATGTTAATTGTTACCTTAAAAAGACATGTAGCAGTCAATGTTATTAACAATAATGTGAATGAAACTAAGTAAATGGACATAATACGCTGATTTTGTATAAACAATTAAGTAACTAACAACATATATGAACTTATAAAATTAGCACAGCAAATGACCATGTGGTCTAAAGTAAATTAAATGTTATATATATAGATACATATATATATATATATATATATATATATAATATATATATATAATATAAATATATCGTAAAGTGGAATGCTTTCTGATTAAATTGCCGAAGCCCATAATTTCCACGATAACAGGCAATCTTTTTAATATCTTTTTCTATAAGGCCGAAAATATGATCAGGCGGAATAAAGGAATGACCAACGATCGGAAAAATTAATTCAATTTGTTTAATATTGTAACTTATTTTTAGCTGAAAGAGTGGGACTCGCCACCGTCCGCTTGGTCAATACTTGGCACCTCACATCCAAAGAGGTGGTACTAAATTATTGGTTAAAGGTTTTAAGATGCCAGAACAAGAAGCTTCAAATAAGATGCAAGGAGTTTTGACAGTTGCAGCTGGCGCAGTCGAAGGTTTTAGTACTGTTTATAGAGGGCTCGAAACCTCTGCTGGGTTCTGGGAAATAGCCTTAAAGAAAACACTGTTAAGATTGTAGAACACAAGTACGTATAGTGCATATATGTATCCTATCTAAAATTTCAAATATGTTGGCAACTTTAGTTATTGTGGGAGCAACATTGTAAAGTAATCGTATGATTATTTTGTAAAAAAAAATCATTCCACTAAAATAATGAACTTTCCCGTGAATATGAGTATTTTCCGGCAATAATGTCTTCTGATTTTCGACTAGGTTTAATATACACATCGGAAAGTATAGGGATATTTTTGTAATATAACACTAATAAACATAAATTTAGGTAGTTATGTAATTTTTTTTAATATAACTCCCCTTTGTTTTTTTTTTGTTAATTAACAAAAATCCAGTTAATGAGAGGGAACAGCTATAGTTTAATAAATAATATGGTACTTCCGATTTTATTTTTGGAGGTATGATAAATCTGGAATTAAGAACGGGAGGGTACCACGTGCAAATGGCGCTCAGTTTTTTCTAGCCGTAGATAAGACATTTAAACGATAAGAGCTCCAGCAAGATACAAGTCAGAGAAAAAAGACTCAAGGAAATATTAAGAGAAAGACGTCCAAAAATTATTGAATGATATATTGCTTTCAACCAGAACAAACAAGGAAACCTGATAACAAAAAATAAAGAATCAAAGAAATACCCAGGTCTGGAGGATATTTTTGGACTTGTAAAGCCCACCAAAGAAGATCGAATACAATTCCGGGTCATTTGACCTCTTCAATTGGTCTTCCTGAGAGTCTTAACTAGATTGAAGTTGTTCTCGCCCGATTAATATACAAAGCAACAATTCTTGAGCCATTTGGAAGAGCTTCTAACTTGTTAGCTTCTATCAGCCTCTATGTAGTTGTAAAACCAGAAGAAAACCATACGTTTATTGAAAACCGATTATTAAAGATGGGTCCGCCTTCGCGTGGTCAATTTTAAGAATGAACAGACCTCGAAAAATAAAAGAGCCGATTTAAAAAAAATACGCACAATACCAAACTGCGTTTTGCGATAACAAACTTAAAGGAAAGTAAGAAATTTAAGAGCCTAGAGTAAACCTAATTAAAATAAAATTATACACTGAGAACGTAAACAAATCTCTTTTAAATAGTTAGATTTATTGTTCTCTAAAATCGCATTAAATTCAACGCATAAGTCTTACAACTTTATGCAAGATACTTCAAAGCATCCAAAAAACTATAAGACCGATAAATAAAAAAAAATACTCATCAAGTTATTGTTGGACAGTAAAAAAATGTTAAGATAGTTTGATATGTTTTAGTATGTATATTAAAAATATTGTGTTTCGTAAAGGAATAACATTAATTAATTTTTGATGATATGATGACGACTTTATATCCTCTTCAAACTGGAATTTGGCAAACTGAAATAGCTGAGAGAAGTGTTAGAAGTCGATTATAGTGGCGTTTTTGTAAAAGTGTATGTCACGTCAAGCCTAAACCTGGATGGTCTACAACTGCAGCTTAAGATATATTTACAGATTGTATCATTAGAAGGCAACTACAGTATCAGAATTGATTACCAATATGCACCGTGAATCAAATCTCAACAGGCATAAACTATTCAGATGCCAAATTTTTCATAGAAATGCTCTTTTATTTTCAGAAAAGAAAGGCACAATAATATCATGACAAGGAAGAATGATGGATAGCAGAACTCATCTCATTTTCTAAATCGCTTCCTATCAGCGAAACAGTATCTTGATATTATTCTTCAAAATATCGTATTTGTTGTACTATCTTGTATTTGCTGGAGTTTTTTTTTTCAAAACTTACACTGCACGCATATTAACCTTTGTATATATAATAAATAAATTAATCACAAAGTATTTCTTCGTTAAAATGATTAATTTCACCCCACAATTCTTAGTATTAAACTCATTGGTCTGGTAAAATAACTTTTAGTTAACAAGTCCGTTCACTCTCACATCATTTCACCGATACTAGATATTCTACAATTATGTCTATCTCAAGATTTCTTTTTGTTCAACAATAAATTTTACAAACAACCTGATGTCTAGCAATGGGTAGTTTGTTATCCTCACTTCTAGCCGATATCTTTATGGATCGCTAAGAATCCAATTACATCATGTAAAACCCTAAAATGTTACAGTGGTTCTTATATGATGATGACTGCTTAGGCTTCGTTTTAGGTAATCATGACTCAGCTCACCACCTACTTATTAAAATTAACCAAATTTATCTTAACATCAAAGTTACTATGCAATTAGAATCTTCGAATGCCATACATTTTCGAGATTTGTCTATAACCAGACTCAACGGTCAGTTCAACTTTGGTATCTACCGTAAATCATCTCAAACTGACGACATTATTTACTCTTCTTCTACACCCTCTTTCTCATAAAATTTCATCTTTTAGAAGCTTTATTGATAGAATATATATCATTCCCTTGTCGACTGATGAATACAATAAGGAATTAAAGGTTATTAAACAAATAGCAGTTAACATTGGGTATGACTCTAATATCATCGATAAACTAATCCGGAAAAAAGAATCTAAACCACTTTGGCAATCTGCTTTTCTTCCCAACTCATATATTTCTCCTACTTACATGTTATTCTCATTAACATGTTAATCAAGATCTTTATGTATTCTTTATAGACTACAACAAGGCATTCGATATGGTTTAACATGACTGACTTAGTAGAAGTACTCAAAAACAAGAATCTGGATGTGAGGGATGTAACATTGATATCAAATTATACTACACCTAACGATCAAATGTGAAAATTGGAAGAGAAGTGTCAGAATAAGTGGAGATAAGGAGAGGGTCCGACAAGGTTGCATACTGTCGCCGTAATTCTTAAATGCTTATTCTGATGAAATCATACAAGAAGCTTTGGTGAACGAGATAGTCGACATAAAAGTGAACGGAAATTTAATTAACACCATTAAGCATGCCGACGATACAGTCATAATAGCCGACAACCTGGAAGACTTAGAAAGAATAATGAACAAAATATTAAGATATAGTGGAGAATACGGACTCTCTCTTCAAACATTAAAAAAACCAAATTCATGAAAATTAGCAAGAACAACAATACAAACGAAATATTAACGGTAGTGGCCAGCAGATTGAGAAAGTAAAAAGATATACTTACTTGGGAACGATAATCACAGAAAATAACGATTGTACTGCAGAAATAAGAGTCAGAATTGAAAAAGCACGTGCCAACGTGAAAATGAAAAAGATTTTATGCAGCAAAGATACTCTATGGAGCTGAATCATGGACATTCAACCGGAATATAATAAATCGACTTAACGAGTTTGAAATGTGGACATTTCAAACGCGTTAAGGATTCCATGGGTAGATAGAGTCACGAATACAGAAGTGTTAAGGAGAATAGGCAGGGAGAAGGAAGTGGAAAGTACAGTAAAAGAAAGGAAATTGCAATATCTCGGACATGTGATGAGAGGCGAAAGATACAACATCTTGAGACTCATAATTTAAGGAAAAATAGAGGGTAGGAGAAGCATAGGAAGAAGACGCGTTTCCTGGTTGAAGAACCTGAGAGAGTGGTTTGGTTGCAACTTAAGGCAATTGTTCAGAGCAGCTGCCTCCAAGATGGCACTTAAAGAAGAAGAAGACATGTTATTGCCGTACCACAATTCTATTTTAACGGAAAAAATCAAACACATTTTATTGAGTATTTCTGAATATACTCACATTTCTTTCAAAGAGCAATACTCAAATACATCAAAGATTCCATTCACTACATGAAACGTAGTGGGGTATACATATTGTCTTGCTCTGACTGTGATGCTTCCTATATCGGCAGAACATGTAGATCATTATCAACTAGATCGACAGAACATTCCAAACGAGAAATCACTTCAGCCTTTATTTATCACCTGAAAGTTAACAAACCCTATCTTAACATCCCAGGTGATGTTATTTTGATTCACAATATTCAAGATAAAACTAAACTATACTAGAACTTTTCATAGACATGAGAACTAGCCCCAATTACGTCAATCGTCACTCCTTCGATCATGACTTTATCCCTATACATCGTTACCTTTTTTTTCTAATATTGCAGTCATTTCCGTTTTCTCTTTTCAATTTTTCTACTACTTCATTACCTACCTTCCAAAATAATATTACCTAGAGACTTGTTCATTCTGTCATTTCTTCTCCCATATATTTTACAACCTTTATCTCCCCCACAATATTTGATTTAGTTTAACTTCTTACACCCCAGATCTAATTTTACTTCTATGATCACCTACAACTACCCTAATCTATTTATTCGAGACTTTCACTTTTGTTCTACACTTTTTCCACAACTTTGTAATATTTATTCTCTCTCAATACCTTCTCCCTCCTTCAGTTTTCTCTTACATTTAAACAGTTCGTCACTATAATGCTTTCAAGCTATCCTCGCACAGTCTTCAGATCTTGACAACTTCCAAATCAAACTTTTTATGTACTTATTTTGATTCATTCTACTCCCATACTACAACCTATCTCCCACTCCCATACATACATTTTCCCAAACATTCCGACACACCTAGCTATTTGGACCTTTTCGTGCTGTTCATTCAAGTGTACCTGTATCCTTTAATTAAATAATATTGCCTTTTATCGTATCAAAATTTATAATTTTGGATATATTAGTTTTCGGTCTCTCTGGAATTTAATTGTTCATTCGCAACCTCTGCAATTGATTTAGTATCTCTTGCACTGGTGCATAGGTTACATATCTCTCTTTGTTATACACATATGTATTCACACACTTTCTCACACATCCACCCCTTTTCAAAACCATTTCATACAGTTACTACCACATACCACCACCAATTGTCACCAATTTTTGCAAGTTTAACTTATAATTAACTTATACGATATCGTTATATTGTGTTGTTCCACATAAATATGTAATTTATCCTATTACACTCTCTTTACACTAATTTATAATTCCCCACATAGGCAACCAACCTCACTATTAATATTGTTCATCAGAATTTTGTATTCCAACAATTTCTATGATATATAGAAGTATATATCATCATTATTATACAAATATAAAATCATATGCAACAATGTATTTTACGAAATAATTACACATACTTATTCTATCCAAGTTTGTGAAGTCATTGTTCACTTGTAAAATTTTATCTTATCATCATTATTTTATCAATTAAACCAGACTTATCTTTTTAATAATATATCTTATCACATATTTAACTTTGAATACACCTTATTGACATTAATTTTATTCCTTTTAATAATTAATTAAACCAATAATACAATTCATACCTAAATTTGGTTATAAACAATACCCACTGAGCATTTATTATTTGAGTATTTACCAAAAAGTCACTTTCACATATATTGAAGACCTTGTCACTTTTAATTAAGGTACTAGTACAGACATCGATTTAATATAGTAAGGAGGAAAACTATGAATAAGTAGTTCCGTCCAAAGTAGCTGATAACAAACCCCACTCTTGTTTCCGGAATGTCAGTGGTGTACGAAAAAATTTTTTTGTTTTGCCTAACTCAAAGATGAAGTAATATTTAAAAAAACTCATGTTCCTTTCTGAAGCTCAGGATTTTTTTTAACCTATACATTTTTTAGCCTTCTAATATGTACCATAATTTTACTTCCTGATATAATCAGTTCGCTGCTTTCAACTGTTGGCCCAAGTTGTCTATTTTTCGAGTAGAGATAAATATATTTCCTTAAGGTGATATCCTACAACATAGACCTCATGTCACTACATTTTTAAAATCTAATGTTTTTCATTTAACATTTTACCTCTTTGTGTTAATCATGTTAACGTGGAAATACTTCTAGGTTTCACTTATGATGGTCCAACTCGACAGAAAACGTTTTGAAAATAATTTTAGTCCGTTTGGATAATTTTTTAAATCATACATCAAATTTTTTATTTAACCCATTTATGCCCACAACTATTTTTTGTCAAAATATCTTGATGATTTTTTCAAAAAAAATATAAAATACGTAACATGCTGGGTTTTCGAAAAACATGCTGGATCGTTAACGACCCGTTGGGCTTATAGGGTATAAAATAATACTAATAGTAACTTTTATGCAATTACATTTTATTTTATTTTCTTTCAACAAATTAAATATTTACTTCCTAAAATGAAAACAATAAAGCAGGCATAGTTTAATTATATTACTTAAGTCTTAAAATAATTTGTATGATAATATTTGAAGCATTTATCGTGGAGTGGAATTTCACATCTGTCGCATGCTTTTGTTGTTTTGTTTGAACATATCCGACATCTTCTTCTTTGAGCACCAGTAATAATTAGATGCTGTATTGATAAGGATGGTGTAGGAATTATTGCAATATTTTGTGGTCCAGTGGAACGGGGTGATTTGACATAATTAGATAATAATGTATGTACTACATGTCTTCTAAATTCTAAGTTGTCATTTTTGTATCCAACTTGTCGTGCTAGTGTCCAAGCATTAGTAATACAAACATCCAGCATCCATAGCCATATCGGAAAGTACCATTTTTTTCCACGTATTTTTATTCTATAGTTTAAAATGTTGTTGTCCATCAAGTGAACTCCACCCATATATTTATTATATTGCGAAATTACAAATGGTTGATCTATTTGAATTTTTAGTTTTTCTTTTGCTGAATATCGGTTTGCTTTTTGTATTGGCTCAGTAACATGCTCATTGGATAATATAGCGACAACATAATTATCTTTCCATTTTACAGCCGCAATTTTAGCGCTTCCTTCAAAAGAGCTACAATAATACCCTCTTGTCTTTTTTATCATAATTTTTTTATCTTCTAAAGGACACTTTTCTGTTCTGTTTTCGCGTACAGTTCCAGTGCCACTAAATCCCATTTCTCCAAGTGATGATAGCAAAGACATGCTTGTAAAAAAGTTATCGAAATATAAGCAAAATTTTATATTTTTATATGTATTTCGCAAAATCTTTGCAAAGTTCAAGACCACACTTTCTCCTAATCCACAATTTTTATCAACACTAGTAGCTAATTTTCGGCCTTGATATATGTCAAAATTTAGGCAATATCCATTTGACAAAGCCATTACCCATGCTTTATAGCCAAATCTTATTGGTTTGCCGCGAATAAATTGTTTGAACCCATTACGACCAAAGTAAGGAATCATAGATTCGTCGATAGAAATTTGATTTTCAATGGGTGCAAACGTTAAAAACTTTTTATTTAATTTTTCGATGAAAGATCTAATCTTGGCTAATTTATCATTTTTTGCCAGGTGGTTGTTATCAGCAGCGTGAAAAAATCTAAATATCTCTTAAAATCTATTGCGTCTCATAGATTTCATTACTAAAATATTATGTGCATCATCAGAGTTTTCCCAATACATTCTTCGCCTTGGTAATGGAACGTTACCATTAAAATTAAAATTCCCAAGAATACATAAAATTCTAAATATTATGATTTTTCGAGGCAGCATAATTTGTTGTTTCTTTAACTAAATATTCTATTATTTCTCTGCTCATAAAAAATTCAAAAACTTCAACTGGATTACTGTCAGAAGTGAATGTGTAAACTGGTAATCTCGGTAGATCGGCATCCGCACGTCATGTTGGTAAATTTATAATGTTCGAACCATTTTCGTGGCGTCTTCTTTATTTTCTTTGTTGGATGTTGTACATTAAAATCAGATACTTCTTGAAGAACTTCGTTTTCTATGCCTTCTTCATCCCTCTGAAATTGTACTTCAGCGCCGGCATTCAATTGACCTCTATTTAGAATATCCGGATCATTACATTCCTCGTCTCCAGAATCCGTCATCGTCCCGAATGTCATCCTGTATAACCTCATTATTTTCATTTCTTTCTATTTCCACTAGGAAACTAAGTTCCTGTATCTGGCTGTATACCATATATTACAAAAAATTTATTTCAAATCCTTTATATAAATATATATATATATATATATATATATATATATATATATATATATATATATATATATATATATATATATATATATATAATAAATTATATACCTTTTATAAAGGATTTGAAATAAATTTTTCTTTCTATTTCCTCCAGAATTTTTGCAGTAGATAGTGGTTTCTTACTAAAAAAACATTTTCTCAGTATAATATGTCATGTGCCCAACGGGTCGTTAACGACCCATCAAAATGTAACATTATATTTATGGCATATATCAAATTATTTTCATACTAGTAGTGTTATAATATATTAGCAAAACCTGTGCTTAACTAGATAAAATGACTTTAAATAATAAAATTATTTATTTAATTGTACTTACAAATTTTTCAATGAAGCCATGCTGCGAACGTTATTCGAGTTCTATTTTGATGTGCACTCTACATCCACTACGAGTAAAATAAACACTTTGCACTAAATAAACTGCTTACTTGCATAGTCGGGAATAAACTTGTCAAGAAACGGCGATTGGCAAATTCGACATATTTGCTTGAAACATCTTTTTGTTAGATGGGTCGTTAACGACCCGTTGGGCATAAATGGGTTAATTGTAAGTTTTGTGAGGAAATTGTTATATTATTTCCAGCACAATTCTCGAATATTAATCCAATTGAGTATATCTGGAACATGCTTGGAAAACGACTAAAAGTATTATAGTTATAGATTAATTTATTATAGATTAAGTGATTTTCTAAAGGATTTTTAAATAAAGCAGAACATTTTAATCAAGTTAAGTTATTTAATGTATTCCATAGTCAACCCTCATTATATTTTTTTCGATGGCTCGATAGTTTCCTCGTAAGTCTAAATTTAGTTTCTAATTTTTTGCCGATTTTTATTTTAGATATGGATACCCTGCAAGTACTCTAACAGGTGATACTTTATCAACAGTTGGTAACGTGTATAATATTGCTCACAATGCCAGAATTATAACTCCGAAAAGTCTAGCAAAACGAACTGGGGCCGGTGTAATCTATGCTTATTCAAGTTCTTCTAAAGCTAGTACCTCTTTTGCTAATCCAGAGAACGCTGCCAACACAAGGGTGAAAAGAGAAACTGATAATGAAATTGAAGAAAAAATAACTGAAGACAACAATGGACAGAATCCAACGAAAAAAGGCTAGATATTTTGATAAGTTAATGGGGAGAGGGGACTATAAATTGAAATCTACCGATATATGTGATAATCATATTCGTTATTAATTTATGTATTTTATTATGATATATTGTATATTGTAAGTTTTCGTTTAAAATGCGTACTGTCATTTTAAAAAATATTTTAACTTTGTTGGAAAGATATTTTAGAGTTTATCCGTAATATGTTATGGAAGTTTTCAAGCTTAATATCATGTAGCAATATGGAGCATATCAGAATGTCAGTGGAATTTGATAACAGAGCCACATAATAATGAAACAATCGGAATGTCCACTCTGCTTGTCCACGCGCATCTCGTTCGCGCAGACGGAATCAGCCATGTTTTAAACGGAACCAGTGCTGTTCAGTGAAATTGTATCTGGTGTGCATAGAAAAAAAACCCGGTTTAATTTATTTACGGCAACCATATACATAATATGCAATATTTTATGTCGTACTTTTAGTTGAAGAATAGATTAAATTATTTCAAATTTACTAAATTATTAATCTCTAAAAATTTAAATTATGGTTCTGTCGTAGCTTGTCACAAATTACTCAATTCGAGACTGTGTTTTCGTTTAAAATATGGCGAATTCGAGCTGACACACTTCAAAGGCTGTATTTGAGAGTGGGCATTCTGATTGCTATTTTTTCTGTTTAGTCATGTGCTCAACCTATTCTCAAACAAATATTCTCATAATGCAATATTATTTCCTTCTCCCATTCATAAATGTGCAAATGAAGCTCGAACGATCTCGTTATAAACTTCTCACAGTAAAAAAGGAGTCTAGTATTGGTCTAGTGACAAAAAGTTAAAATATTTTTTTCTTGGTCCCTTTACTTCTCTCTATATTTCTCTAAGCAATTTTTTTACGGGTTCGTAGCGAAATAGGTAAATATTATCTCCATTACTCTAGCGCTTTCTAGCAATTATTTCTCTTACTCTTAATCTCTCTCGCCAATCTCTCTATATTTATCTCATCTCGCTCTATCTCTAAACAATTTACCTTTTACACAGTGAAAGATATAAATATGACACTTTTTGTTAGCTCTCTTTTCTCTCTCTATCTTCAATCTCACTCTGCTCTTTTTGATTCTCACTCTCTTTGTTCCTCTCTTAATATAATGTGTTTCTCTCACATATTTATCAAGTTATACAAATACATTTTGGGAATCATTTTGGGAAAATATTGTTCTTGTGAATTTTCAAGGCGATACTTGTCAAGTACCGCCTTTAGTTTCTGCCAACTTATCTGATATTAGAATGTCTAATCTCAGTCGAATGTCCTAAAATCATGTACCAGGATCGCTGTGACGAGTTTTAGTGACATCTTGTCGTCTTGCCTGACATCTATTCCGTATTTTGTTTCCTACTCTCTGTGTGGAATCTTATAGCCGTGGTACGTTTTTGTAGGTATTGTTCGGAATATCTGTGTACAATTTTGAAGTAATTCAACGCTTTCCACAGTGTGAAATGCCGTCAGCAAAACGAAAATTAGTACCAATAGCCCATTGTGTCCCAGAGTTTTCTCAATCACGACCTTTAGATCTTCTCAATCGTTGTTTGCTCCCCACCGTGTACGGAATCTAGACAATTTTGGTGGTTAGCAGACTACTTTTTTCGAGTCTTATTCCAATAAATATACAATATAATGCATCTGTACAAACGGTATACAGATGATATAAACAAATTAATGGGTTTGTAGTAGAATCGTCAGTGCATTATTCCAGTTCGAGGATATTTTAGGTTGGTCTAGGAAATTTAATTTTAAATGTGTCGTATTATATGTTTTGTACTTCTCAGTTTCATTACAAAAATCCTTAGATATATTTTATATCTTTTGAATTGCTCTGTAAACTAAATATTTTACTTACCAGTATTTTTTATAAACTTTTAACTTTTTATTAGTCACTGCTGCTTAATTCTCTTAATTGTATTATTTTTTTAATTCAAACAGTTGATATATATTAAAGACTATGTTAATCTCTATATTTTTAGCTATATTGTTATTATTAGTTTTATATATAATTTTTCAAAAATCATAGCCCTAACCGACTAAAGAATATGGAAAGTTCGGACGAATGTGATATGAAGTAACATTAATTCGGTAGATCGCTGTTTTCTATTTATCGATCCGGTTTGGGAAAATGATTTTTGGAATATCTTTTTTGTTGTGTGTTAAATATTTACATATATAAAAGGGGTAGCTGTACATTATTCTTGTAGATTTATATTTTTTGTAATGTGATATTTGTTACCATTTTAAAGGGTTAATAAATAATGAATTTTCTTTTCTCATCTTTATTATTTTTGGTACAGATTATAAAGCGGAAATAATGTTTTTTGTAATATCCCAAATCTACCTTATAATAATAATGGAATAAATTGTTCCTTTCAAGTTGACAAACACGTTTTTCATTCGGTCAAAGTTTTAATTAATTTATTCAAGTTTATTTCAACAAGAAGTTCATAACCAGCGCAAATATACAGTCCAACCTTCATGGTTTCTTCTAATCCCTTCATGGTGGTGAATAAATTGTTCCTTTCAAGTTGACAAACACGTTTTTCATTCGGTCAAAGTTTTAATTAATTTATTCAAGTTTATTTCAACAATAAGTTCATAACCAGCGCAAATATACAGTCCAACCTTCATGGTTTCTTCTAATCCCTTCATGGTGGTGAATAAATTGTTCCTTTCAAGTTGACAAAACGTTTTTCATTCGGTCAAAGTTTTAATTTATTTATTCAAGTTTATTTCAACAAGAAGTTCATAACCAGCACAAATATACAGTCCAACCTTCATGGTTTCTTCTAATCCCTTCATGGTGGTGAATAAATTGTTCCTTTCAAGTTGACAAACACGTTTTTCATTCGGTCAAAGTTTTAATTTATTTATTCAAGTTTATTTCAACAAGAAGTTCATAACCAGCGCAAATATACAGTCCAACCTTCATGGTTTCTTCTAATCCCTTTAATAACAATTTTAAAGGTGGTGAATCGTCAAACTGGCCATAGGAAACTCAATGGGAAATTTTAAATGGTTGAATTGCTGCTTCCCTAATTATTTTAGATTAAAAGTCATAAAAAACTATTTGTACAGGACTAAATTCTGAATTAAAAACAAATGTTAAAACCGTTCTACGAATCAAATGTACTTCAAAATTTTGCAAAAATATAATAGATTTTTCAGACCACCCCTAAAAGTTAGGCCACACGTAATACAAGAATATATTATAACGTGTGTGTTTTATCGTATTGATTTCAGATGTTTGACAATTTAAATTGTCAATTTTTTTATTTTATGATTAAATTATAAACAATGAATTTTACTAAATACTACTACTACTGAACAATATTACTTTGTGAACAATAAACTATATTGTTTACAAATCGATCAATATAATGAAATGTACTCAGTTGACGAAAAATAGCATAATAATGTTGTATTCAGGCAATAGAGCGAACCTTTTCCTGTCACTACTGGATCTCTATTTAACGTAAGATATTTTAATACCCTCAAATATAATTCCATGTTAAGTTAAGTTATACAACAATTATTCAATGAATTGCATTATACTGTTACTGTGATCTTTATTCCTAATAATAATATATGATAATTTCTAAACATAAAACTATAACAAATGTTATAATAAAACATGAATAAAACATTTTTATTATTGCTCTTTTCTCCTTAACTGAGTACATTTTTGAATCAACCTAATTTTTCTTTTAAATAATAAGTCACAAAATTTTGGCCATTTAAATCATAGATAAATATAATATAGTTGATTTAAATATTGTCGAATATTAGAAACGTCAATATGACAAAACGCAACACGTAATACACATTCTTTTTACAATTGTTTTCAATACATATTTGAGTCCTCTACAAATAGTTTCCCATGACTTTTAGTGTAAAATAATTAGGGAAACAGGAATTCAACAATTTAGAATTTCTCATTGAGTTTCCTATGGCCCGTTTGACGATTCACCACCCTGTATAATATAAAAATGAATCGCAAAATGTGCTGGTAAGCGCATAACTCAACAACGCATGGACCAATCTTAACAATTCTTTTTTAAAATTTTCCTTGAAGTCTAAGGATGGTTTTTACGGCATGAAAAAAATGAATAATTTCCGGGAAAACATTAAAACAGCAATTTTCTTTTTCCCATACTAATATTTTCTATCTAAATGTAGAGTCAATTTGAACTTTATTGCTATTCAATAAAATTTATACTAAATTACAAGCTTCTTAACAATCCTTTTTTTAAATGTTCCTTGAAGTCTAAGGATGGTTTCTACGGCATGAAAAATTCGAATAATTTCCGGGAAAACCCTAAAACAGCTCTTTTTTTCCCATACATATATTTTCGAACTAAATGGAGAGTCAATTTGAACTTTATTGCTATGCAATAAAGTTTATAATAAATTACAAGCACTTACTATTGTCTAAACAATCTTATATAACATAATTCATCTTCTATAATATAAAAATGAATCGCAAAATGTGTTGGTAAGCGCATAATTCAACAATGCATGGACCAATGTTAACAATTTTTTTTTAAATGTTCTATACTCTGTTTTTTAACCAGGAGGAGTAAACCAAAAAGACAGATTCACACCCAAGAAAGTTACTAGAAAAGTCACCAAATACATCTTCTTTTTTTGTTGTATATCTCGGCCTTTCGGTAATCGAGTAATCAATATCGGACAACCTTACACGTCAATTCTAACCTAACTCTATGTTTGAATAATATTTTTTTTAATTTACTTCCAATATATATTACAATAAAAAATGACGTTTTTCACATTTGGTCCCATGTATATATATTTCAATATCGAGTGATCCAGTTTTATAGATCTTTTGAGTCAATGGTACTTAATTTAGAGAATATTTTGATCCAGAGAATCAATAATGTTACAGATCTAAGTATGGTTTTTCTCAGAAATTTGTCTTTTAATTTGCAAGTAGATCTTATATGCAACAAAGCTATGCACATACATGTATCAAAAAGTTAGAGAGAGTTCAAAGATTTCTGAAATACTGTTCTTTTAAACTGCGTAGACCATATTCTTATTCTGGTTTGATTAATTTCTTGAATCTAGGTTTTTTTCTTACCAGAAGAATTAACTTTGACTTTGATCATTATTTTTAAGCTTAATAATCCAATCTCCTGAATTGCTTCAGCCAGTTTGTTTTACATATTCCTTCTCACGCACTGCTTTAGAATTGACTTTTCATGTTTCATATCACAGAATAAATTATGGTTCAAATATAGGTGTGGTCCTACTTTTCATGCATGGTAATCAGTTACCTCATTAGATAGATATAACTTATGTATCAATATCTTAAGGATCTATTTGAAGCACTAAAATGCAAAACAATAAATTTGTATGAATAAGTGTGTAGTTGCAATTTCTTTAATGCTGGATTCTTGTTTAATTTTGACAGTGAGTTTGTCCCATTTGTTATCAATAAATAAAATTTACTAAAAAATATTGGATTTCTGTGAGTTAATCAACTAATTCAATCTATTATGTTACATTCTAGTATAATTTTGCAGTTTTCTTGTGATGATCTACAACAGGAAGAACAAAACCAACTGTATCAATACAATCAAAGTAAAACACAACATTACTAATGTTCTTTTATTGTGATGAAAATGCTTCTTAACAAGTATACACTAAATTTAAAAGATAGTTGCCGTTTTTCTTATGATAATTAGATATAAATATCATACATTTATAAATTTATAAACACTGTAAACTCTATTTATTATAAATATCAGCTAGAAAAATATTACATTAAATACTATTATCGCATATCACCAAGTCCAAGTTATTACAAAAACAACTTAAAGAGTCAGAAATCGATTATATAATATTCTGTGCATAATATATATTCGGAATGAATGTAAAAAATAAAAAATAATTGTGAAATTAAATTGGTGAGATTAATGAACAACTACACCATTTTGAATTTCTTGATTTATTTTTTCAGCAAAAACTGAATCTATTTCAGATATTTGAGCAAGAAAGTTTTGTTTTTGGTTAGCAGCCCAATGTATAAACTATTCTTTGAATAATTTCCCCTAAAAAATAACTATGGTAAGACATTCATAATATAGACAATAAATCAATCATCCTATAAACAGTAAGATAAACAATTTATAGTTATGCTATGTAATATTTGCTGCATTGAATCTGCATATGTAAAGTAAAAATATCCTTTTTTTTCCTTTTCTTCCCTTTCTTATATATCTGTTGAACCAAAATACTTGACAACATTCCAGTAGAGTATAGAAAAAAAAACTTAAAAAATATTTAATAGTAACAATAATATACCTGATTATAAAATGAAATCGATAAAATGTTTCAGTTAATTTTACTATATAATTGTAGCTAACCCATATTTACATACCGATATTTGTGCTTACTTCAAATTGATTTGCTTCAAAAATTTATATAATAATGAACGACACATATTTTGGAAGATCTGAGCGGTTGTTAATTTCACTTAAAATTTTATCTAAAGTGAGCATTTCATTCTTGAAAAAGAAGCTGTGTACTATTTGTCGTATAGATGTTTTAACTATTTTTAGGACATTTTACTGCTCCAGTCTGCTTATATTCTATAATTGTTCTAAATTCTGTTGTTGTAAATAGTTGAATTCGCAACACCTAAAATAAGCACATTACTTTAGTAAGTCTTGATTTTAATAATAACTATTCTGTAAAACTAACCTGCTGCCTGTTTTATTTTTACTACCGTGGCTGTTATTTTTATTCCAGAATTATCAATTTTCATGTTTGTACATGTTTACATTATTTCTCATTTGATGATAAATGATCCAAATCTACTCGGCGTTTTTAAGGTGGAGAAGAACAATTACCACTAGTACTTGGCATTGAATCCATATTGTTATCTTAATAACACTAATATGTCGCTAAATAGTTCTGAAAAGAACTGTTTTTTATATAAATGCAAACGAAAAATCTAACGATGTAAGAAATAACACAGAAAATACAAAAAATTGTCGATATAAATTTTGAATTTTAAAATTTCACAAATGTCATTAGTGTCAATATGTCATAATTTAATGGAGGAAACGCTTCGACCAATTAAAAACAAGCATTATGGCGCGGAAAATTTGAATTACTCCTCCTGGTTTAAAAACAGACCATAGAAGTCTAAGGATGATTTTTACGGCATGAAAAATTCGAATCATTTCCGGGAAAACCTTAAAACAACTCTTTTCTTTTTCCCATACAAATATTTTCTATGTAAACGTAGAGTCAATTTGAACTTTATTGCTATTCAGTAGAATTTATACTAAATTACAAGCACTCACTGTTGTCTAAACAATGTAGGTGTGTTCCTAACGTCGAAGATTCAATTTGCGCTTGATTATCACTGCACAAAGTTCAAATTCAATAAAATGTATGTGTGTGCGCGTTCGTGTATATGCGTGTTCGCGTTGGAGGATCTAATGCGTTCACACAAAAGTGATAATATCTTTAACCCGACCAAATTGAAAAGTCAAAAAATGTAAGAGCTATAGATTTGATTGGCCTCGCAATATTCTTTTTTTTTTGTTTTAGTTTCGGAACGCGACATAAATTGCATCAGTTTTCACGTCGTTGCATCTGTCAAACAAACCGATGTTTGTTTCCAGAAGGTGTTTCCATATGTTGCTCAAAATTACAGAAACCATGATTTTTTTGAGCGAACGGGCTATATTGGCTGCAAAAAACATAGAAGTAAATGAATTAAATTTCAAAATTCAAGAACAAATTACAGGCGACTTGAGGATATAGAAATCAGTTGATTCGGCTACTAACCAAGATGATGTAGTCAACTATCCGCCTGAATTTTTAAACTCGCTGGATTTACCAGAATTGCCTCCCCACAATCTTTAATTAAAGGTTGGATCGGTAGTTATAATGTTAAAAAATATCAACCAACCGCGTCTGTGCACCGGCACACGGTTAGCGTTTAAAAATTTTATCGCTAACCAAAATGCTTGGTACCTTTATAATAGATCCAATGATCCTATTCCCAATATTACCCAATATGGTAATCAAAATATGGTACCGAACCAAAAGGTGCAGGCAGGCCATCTTTGTCCAAAGTAGCCAGCACAAGACATGACAAGATTGATCATCTCCTGACCTATATTCCCGATAAAAAGAGGAGACGTTGTGCACGTGAGGGCTGCAGTTGGCATGTGCGTACCGTGTGTTGCAAGTGCAATGTGGTATTATGCATTGATTGCAATATCGACTTTCATCTAAAATAATTTGATTATGTTTGTTCATCTAGTTATATATTATCTGTTGGTTATTTTTAAATTTATAATACGGAATATTTTAAATATTTTTGCTCCTATATCTTCCTAGCGTTACATATATGTAACGGCAATTTTCTAAGAAATCAAAAATAATTAAGAAAAAAGTGTATGAATTTTGTTTTAAAACCTTCTTCCATATACATCTAAATTAAAAAAATAAAACTTTTTAAACAAATTAAAATTTAGGAACTTTAGGGTTAACATAACAATAGAGATTTAAAAAAAATATTTTATTTGCTAACTATACGCTACATCAAGAGTATTGGGCAGTTACTTGTTCCACAAAATCTAAGTGGAAAGCTACTTTAGTGAATAGGGCACTTATTTGTACATCACAGCCATCCGTTACTCTATGACCTACACTAACTAAACCTTGGATATAATATCTTCCATCCTTTCGATTAGGAAAAACAAGCCCTCCTCCACTATCTCCTTTGCATACCGCTATGCCTGCAAATAAAAAACATGTTACAAACTTTTTAAAGCTCTTTTTATCTATCTAAAGCTGGTTAAAAATAAATGAACAAAATAATCCGTAGTCTATGTTTAACGAAACAAGGAAGAAAATAAACAAAAAATAAACATGAAAAAGCTTTGAAGAGTTGTAAGAATACAACTCTTCTCTAGTTGTATAGAAGAAGAAATGTAGAAATATAAGATTCTTCTCTAAGAATATTAGAACGCAGCCTAAGATCCCACTACTAGATTACTACGTTTATAACGTATTTAATCAAAATCACATTTTTATCGTTGCGAATCAAAAAGAGGCCGCAAATATTTTTAATTAAATTGATAGCAATTAATTTTTGAAAAAATTATTTCGTTCACTTCTTTTGTAATAAAATACGCTGCTCATGACGTATATGCATGTTTTTTATACCACACTAAAGCTAATTCTTGAAGCAAATATACTGGCGTTACATTTTACTTTTTTCTCTACAGTGAAATGCTAAGGCGAACGTCACGGAACTAGCGTTACAAGATGCAGTCGTCGCGAGTAGCGTCACGGAATAGCTGGTCTTCATATCGATTCACTACTTTCGATCAATTCGTTTTTAATAATCATATACTTACTCTCAGCAGGTTTAAATTAAAACAGCCAGAAAACAACAGAAGTATAAATTTGTTAAATACCACGCTAAAACTTATAACTAAAATTTTACAAGTGCTAATAAATCAGAGGATAAGTTTAGTAGATGAACAACAGGGTTTTCGAAGTGGAAGATCGTGTACAGATGCAATATTCGTTATAAAGCAAATTACTGAGAAATCACAATAGTATAATAGACCAGCATTTCTGTGTCTGATTGACCTAAAGAAAGCGTTTGACAGAGTAGGACTCAAAGATGTAATACATCTTCTGTATAATAAAGAAGTTCCCTAAATATTATAAAAACTATCGATAACATCTACCAAAACAACAAATGGAAGTCAGAATAGATGGACAACTTGCAGAGCCTATAGAAATAGGCAGCGGAATAAGACAAGGGGATTCATTGAGCCCCATGCTCTTCAATTTGATCATGGATGAAATCATCAGAACCGGTAACAAAGGAAGAGGATACAAAATAGGAAAGAAAGAAATCAAAATACTCGTGTTACGCAGACGACCCAATATTGATAGTCCAAGATGAAGATAGTTTGCAAAGACTGGTCCACAGATTTAACATAAGAGCAAAAAAATTTAATATGACAATCTTATCTCAGAAAACTAAAACAATAGTAGTCAGCAAAGAACCAACCAGATGTAAAATAGAAATTGATAGCATCAGTATTTCACAAGTAATGGAAATAAAATACCTGGGAATTACACTATCTATCTATGGAGACCTGGACAAAGAAGTGAGAGATCAAGTATAAAAAGCAAATATACTAATAGACCGTGCCATTTTAATTCTGGATCTAATCTCTTGAGCGTAGTTCCATTGTGAGTTGAGGGTAGTTTCGAGGTAAGTCAATCTGCCGACTCTCTGGATCTCTTCGCTACCTGCCATTAGTGCTATGGGATCTAAATTTGCACGGCTGACAATGATGAATTTAGTTTTCTTAATATTAAGGTCTGGTCCGTATGTTACGCTCACAGTTCTCACTCGATCTAGTAAGGATTGTAGATCATTTAGGCTGGTTGCTAACACAGTGTCATCGGCGTAGCGGATGTTATTGATGTGTTCACCGTTCCCTCGGATTCCCATCTCTAGGTTTGTGGGGGCTTCAGAAAAAATTTCCTTAGAGTATATATTGAAAAGAGTCTGCGAGAGCACACAGCGCCTTACTCCTCGGATGATCTTCCCTTGGTCGGTCAGCTGGTCTTCGACCTTGACTTGAGCACGCTGGTTCCAGTATGAATTCTTGATGATCCGAATGTCCCTCTCATCTAATCCTACTCTTTGTAGGGCGGCGAACATCTGGTGCTGACAACGGTTAAATGCCTTGGCGTAGTCAATAAAACAAATATAGATATCACAACTGACATCACGGCATCTCTGAAGTAGGACTTGTAAGGTGAAAAGTGCTTCACGTGTATCCATGGAATTGTAGAATCCAAATTGCATTTCACCGACATTTTCTTGATTTTTGTTGGGTATAAAATTTTTGAAAGGTACTGATTCCAATACTGAATAATACCTGAAGATATGTGGAAAGATGATCAAAAATATGGTTGGTTAAAAGTATTGGAAGAATAGGTGAAAGAATGTTGGAACCATTCCGAATTAAGTGTACACCTATATTGGAACCGTATTTCTCCCGATCCGATATCGGCCGACGTCGGATTGAAAACAAACTCAAGGTATTAAATGATAGTGCCTATACTGCTTTGTCATGGAAGCAGTATAGGCACTATGATTTAATATCTTGAGTTCCAATGTAGGTGTACACTAAGATATAAGTCAAAAAACGAAAGATTATAACCGCTGTAGGAAAGACTATATCCGCTTTGAGGATGATTATGCTACCATTAAAGGAACTGTTTAGAGTATGGAACTAAGGGTAAAAATGGATTAAACCTGTCATTGAAAGCTGTTGCAATAGAAGAGTAGTACTAGAAGCATACACAAATAAATATTTTGTTTCCTGTTTCAAATATTTTGGTATCCAGGTATGCGATAGCAGTTCGATTCAAGAATAAATAAAGACAATGATCTTCTTCTTCTTAAGGTGCCTTCTCCATTACTGAAGGTTGGCTATAACTACAGTAAATTGCTCTTTATCTTGAGCTGTTCTTAGTATCGAATGTGTGTCCATTCTTGTCCAGTCTCTTAGATTCTTCAACCAGGAGCATTTTCTTCTTCCTGGACCTCGTTTTTCTGTTTTTTTACAACATGTAGGAGTCCTCTCTCAGTACCCATTCTTCTTAGCACCTGGTTGTTGGTCACGTGCTCTGTCCAAGAGATCTTCAGCATCCTTCGAAAAACCCACATCTCAAAGGCTTCTATACGCCCCATATTTGTAATTCCGAGAGTCCATGTTTCCACTCCGTATAGCAATATGGAATAACTAATGTTTTTACAAATTGGTATCGGATATCCAACGATAACGTAGAGTTTATTAGGAATTTTTTCATTCGTTGAAATGCGGACCTAGCATATTCTATACGAGCACGTATTTCGACCTCGTGGTCAAGATCGTTTGTTATCCAGCAAACAAGATACTGGAATCTTTGTACTGGTTCTATATGTTTGTTATAGATACGAATATTAATGTAGACATTTGGTGCACGTGTAACAGCCATTGCTTTTGTTTTATTTGTGTTTATATTTAATCACAAGCTATCTCCCTCTCTGGTTATGACATTCAAAAGTCGTTGTAAACCCTCAGCACTGTCCGCAATAATAATGGTGTCGTTTGTGATAGTAGTAGAAAGACAAGTATAGTAGTAGAAAATAGGTACGTATTTTTTTCACAATAAATAAAATAAAGTCGGCTACTGGCAACGGTAACCCAAAAGACAGGAGACATGGAGGAATTATATAATAAGTTACACCCATACATTGTAAATCGTGACTTACTTTTATTATAATGCCCAGCGCAAAATTTATCATTTGTAAAGTATTGGTCACTCCATTCGCTTGGTAATTCAGCGACACAAGTAGCATCGTCTTTGAATGGTATTTTAACTTCTTTTAATTCCTCGGACGGTTTACCACCAGCTTCAGTATAACCCCATCCAGTTACCTAAAATATACTCGTAGTTTCAATATCAATGTGAAATATTAGTAAATTAGTAAATTTAAATAAAAATATTAATATATTTAAAAAAATAATTGCTGTACAAAAATTTAAAAATTACCATCAAAATAGAAAAAAAAACTCTCATCTGATAGAATGAGGTACTAGTTTATTTAACCTATTGTAGAATCACTCGAATAACTCGTTTCAATATAATTAATAAAAATTTTTATAATTGAATTATTGTTTCATATGTCCACATTGTAGTTTTGGACAAATTCTTCATTAAAAAACATAATACAAACATTAACATGAAGATTACTATGTTTAATGATCCTATGATATTCTTTGGTAGTCTTTTATAATATATTTCTCCATATTCATCTCCTTTATTTGTAACTGTAACTCCGAAGTACTCCACCTTTATTAAATTTTCAAATTTGTGTTCTCTGCATTTATTTCTTATTTATATTTTTAATTTCTTCCATTAATCCCCTTATCATCCTCACATATTTAGTTTTCATTTGGTTTACAATAATCGATCATCATTCTGGCTTTACAATCCTGCGTGGGTCCTATCCTCCTCAAGAATTTCTCTCCTGTCGTTCCTATCCATCTCCTTTCTCCGCCAAGCACGTATTCCCATGTTATCAAGGAACCTTGTTGTGGGTCTTTCTCTTCTTCTCTGACCAATGGGTCTATCAAGGAGCATTTTTCTAGCTGGGTCATTTCGGTGCATCCGAATTACATGCCTTATCCACCTCAGACGTCCTATCTTAATGAAGTCCAGGTCTCTGACCCATATGTTAGGACTGGGCGTATTATTGTTTTGTACAGTTTTATTTTTTACTCGATATAATTTTGGATTTAAGGAGAAGATTGAGCCCAAAATAGCATCTATTGACCGTAAAAATTCTGCGGTTTATCTTTGAGGTAGTATTATTTTCAGTGTTGAGGATCGCTCCCAGGTATACAAATTCGTTCACTGCTTCGATGACGTCGTTTTCTATAACAATTGATAGTATCGTTTGTGTATGCGAGCTTATTTTCAGATACTTTGTTATGTTAGTGTTTATTATTAAACCCATTTTTGTAGCTGATTCTTTTAATGTGCGCCTCTCCGTATGTAGCGTATACCGTTTTCCGTTCTCTCAACAATATTGATATCACAGGCAAGCATTTTAACTGATTTATTATATATTGAACCAATGGTTGTGATTTGTGACATACGTATTACGTTTTCCAGAGCCAGATTAAACTGCATACAGGAGAGAGGATCTCCCTAATATAGTTATTTGTTTTAAAATTTCAGACAGTTCCTCCTGAATTCGTATTCTACATTCAACTTTTTCAAGAGTTAGTTTTGTTAAATTTACCAACTGATTTGGTATTCCTAGTTCTTTCATTCCTTTGAACATTTCCCTTCTATTCGCAGAGTTTTAGTCTATAAATATGTGATGAGTTTCTATGCCATATTCCAGTGTTTTTTCTAAAATTTGTCTCAGTGTTGCAATCTGATGAATTGTCGATTTACCACCTCTGAAACCAGCCTGGTATTTTCCTACTATCCGTTCTGCATATGGTATCATACGGTGACCTATTATTGTGTAGAATATTTCATACGCTGCATTTAAAAGCATAAATGTTTTGTGGTTTGAGCATTCAAAAAGCAATCATCGATTGTAACTCAAATACTATGTCTTAGCTGTCTCTCTCCTAATATTTAAAAATCATTTGCCCAACTCGGTATAATCAAAGCGTATAAACGGGAATATTCTGTTTATTTGACGCGCAAAATATCCTAAAGCGGCTCTCGATCAAAGTAATACAGAAAACATACGAATCTGTGATATATAAACAAACTTTAAAATGTATTTTTATAAATCTCGGCGACGCAAAAAGGGTTGAAATAATATTTCAGTGTTTTAATACATACAAAGTGATTTGAAATGTTAAAACGTTGGCAATCATTCTGGCTATGATGACTTTGTTGGTTGCTACACGGAATAGTTGTATTGAGGTCTTTTTGTACCATGCTATCAGGTTAACAAGCCAGTATATTCTTCTTCGTTCTGGGCCCTTTTTCCTTCAATTTTATCTTGCAAAATGCATTGGAGTAGCTCATATCTGCTTTGGTTTCTCATTATACATCCCAAGTACTGCAGCTTACTTCACGATGTTGACCAAATCCACGGTTGTGTTCATCCTCCGTAATACTTCTTGATTGGTGACTTTGTCCATGGTATCTTCAGGATACTTTTGTACAACCATAGCTCAAAAGCCTGAAGTTTTGATAGAGTTTCCGCCTTCAATGTCCATTTTTCTAGTCCGTACAGAAGCAGTGAGTATACGTAACATTTAAGGAGCCTTATTTTTATTTCTAGGGTGAGGTCATGGCTCTTGAACACATAGCTCATAGTCAAGAATGCACTTTTTGCCTTTCCGATGCGACATTTAATCTCTTGGGTATTGTCCCACGACTCATGCAATATAGTTCCCAAGTAGTTGTACTGTGAGACACGTTCAATTCTCATTTGGTTCACATACAAATGTGATCCAGTTATGTTTTCCTTGCTGATGATCATTAGCTTGGTTTTGCTGGCGTTTATATCCAGTCCATATGTTTTACTTGTTTCCGTATTTTGTTTATTAAGTTTTGCAGCCCTTCTATGGTATTGGAAAACACTAATTGTATCATCTGTATATCGCAGGTTGTTGAGATGCCGTCATCAATATCTTTTTTAGGTCTCTTCCATCAATCCCTGTCCTCTTCAGCACTTCCATCATTTTTTCATGCCTGACTCTATCGAAAGCCTTTTTGTAGTCAATCAGGCATGCAAAGCATCACAGCTGTCATTTCTATATTTCTGAAACAATACCTGCACGCTAAATAAAGCTTCCCTCGTACCAAAGGCGTTCACAAATCTAAACGAATTGGGCGCAATTTGTTCCTCGCATTTCCGGTAAATTCTTTTGTGGATGACTTTTAAAAACAGCTTCAGCAGATGGCTAATTTGGCTTAGAGTCCTATAACCTTCGATTTGAGTCACTCTACTGATAGTTTTCCTGCCTTGTATATTTCATTAAATATTTCATTTATTATTTTTATTTGTATGTATATTTCTAGGCTTAAGTATTTGTATTTGTATTCTAGTAAATTTGAATTTGTTGATTAATATTTCAATATACAATTATAGTTAAGCGATGGAGAGATAATCGGGTGAAGGCAATTGAATATAGCAATCATAAAAAGAGCTTTCATGCGAGGTATTATTTGCCATATAATCTTGTTTTAAATTATCTAAGAAAATGGTTACCGCTCCTCGTTTTAATGATTAGGACAGTGAAACGTCATAAAAGTACTACTTGTTAAAATAAGTTAGTTAATTTATACAGAAATTTATTAATTTAAGTATTTCGGTTCAGAACATGTTGCAGGTGATAGAGTTTAGTTGTGCCCTTTAGTATATATAATATCTACCAACAAATATAAATGACTTACCACTCCCTCATCTCTAGAAGTTAAGCGATTATCGTTATCGTTTAAATTATGATAGCAAACTGGCTGCACTACTTTTGATAACACTAATCTGTCCTTTGTCACCAAAAATGCTATATCGGAAGCGAATCTTTGTGCCTCCCCTTTGTATCTGGGATGTACTTTAATCTCTTGAATCTGAAAGCAAAGACGGATTACATTCCATAATAAAAATTAAATAGAAAATAGTGCATATTCCTAGCAATAAAGATCAAAATTAATTGTTTGAGAATGTAATAGATAGGGAATTTCCTAGCCAATGTAAATCTACAAATGTACAGAGAAGTTTGACCTATTTTATCTGTAGATGAAAGAATAGAGAAATAAAAGCAAAACACATTCAGAAAAGGCGTTATAATAGCCTACAAAATACTTTTAATGATATCCTCTTAGAAAACGTATAACTAGTCTTCAGTTAAAGAAGGCTTCTCTTCGAGATCCATGAGCCATGGGACCTATTCGTAATAAAGAGAGGATCTTTATGCTCGATTGTGGGTGCTGATTCTGTAAGGCAAGCACGACCTAGTATGAAGCTAAGGACGCCTCAATTCCAGATAAAATCGGTTCACTCAGCTTGAAAATATTTTGACAGAGTCATTGTTGGAAACATATAACACAAACATTCTTTCCTTAAGATACAACACAATAACTTCAGTCATACATAATGAGAGTATTAATTTTGATTCAAAACTTTCTATTTGTAAATACTGTTACGAACATGCATTCGGAGTGGCGCATGTAACGGTTGCATCTCGAAACGCCGAGAACTTTCCGGTCATATCGAGCGCTGTAGAAATTCACCCGTCAAACAACGAATTAGAGGTAGGACTACTTTAGATTATTCTAGAATAATACTTTTGGTATATGTAACGATGTTATGAGTTAGTTTAATTGACAAGAGAGTACCGAACTGTAAACTTACAAATAAATATATTTATATAAATTCGAACCGCTCGTTTTATTTAAAAACGGTACAGTTGGTGTCCGGTGTGAGATTTCAAAATAAATTCACCAGTGACTTTTGAACTTTTGAAAAGTATTGTTCGTCGGGAACATCCGCTTAGTTCGGTAGTGATCTAGTAGAATCAGTTACGTGTGTGCTTGACCAAAAATGCTACTAGTACAACTTTCAGTAAAACAGTTGCGTAAAAAACTAGAAGAACGCGATGAAGACTGCAGCGGGTCCAAGAAGATCCTCCAAGAACGACTTAAGAATGTTCTTAACAAGAATGGAGATGGCCCAGAGACATTCCATTTTCAATCAGCAGAAGAAGTAGTTTTAATGAAGATTGAAGAATCTTCTCGAAAGAATGATGAACGATTCGATGAAACGTCTCAAATTACTAAAGAAATAGCTAGACAAAATGACGAGAAACTCAAAAATGTATTTAGAAGATTCGAAGAGACTTCTCTAATAATTAAAGAAGTATGTTAAAGCTTTTACTGGAAGGAACTGATTTTATCAGTAGAGGTGGGGATGTTTTCTTGCTTTCCCTGCATGCCCTTATTTACAACATACAATTTCCAAAAAAAAAATTGCCAAAAACGCAACTTTGGTACACCAAGTGTCATCACTAACGAAATTGACATATTAAGACTGTTCGCAAGTAAAAAATACTTAAAAAACAGTTCCTCTTTAGGTTCATAGAATCTTTGAAGGAGCCGTCCGCAAGATAACCATTTTATACTTCTGTATGCAGTAATAGCTGCGTATGTTCAGAATCCATAGCCAAACACAAACTGTTAAATAATCTCAGTTTTTAAGACCTACTTTTGATGTAGTTCACCATTTTCACAACAGTTTGCAACAGGTCATCCAGTTTAGGCAGGCATCAATGATTTCTAGACAAGTGCTTCTGAGTAAAAAACAATGTGTAAAAATAATATTTGGATTTTCCTTTTGGACTAAAGCCAGAAAGCCTGTTTTGAGTTTTTCATTTACTTAGGTTTCAACATCCTTAAACATGTCTTCCATGCGCCTTTTAATCGTATTATTATATAATGGTATTTTTTAACCACTTTCACATTCTTCACCAAACATAATTTTAATAATTCCACAGCATGGTGGCAAAATAGTCGTCTCGGCAGTTGTATGGGATTTCATATTGTTTGTGATTAACTCAGCCGCAGCGCAAGTGGCTTCTTGTACTTTATCCGACACAGATAAAAGTTTTTTAAAAGTGGAGGCCTGAGTAGACTGATTTGACAGGAGACTTTTAAAATATTCAATAGGTTTTTCAGCCGCAACGGAATGCTTTGTAAGTAGGTGTCTTACTTGGCACCATGGCTTTGTTGGCAGCTGTTCGCCACATATCAAGCATCGAAGTGTAGGCTGTTCACCACCAGATGACGTGAAACTGAACAATAAATAGTTTTCATGGTACTGAGGAACAATTTTTTTTTCTAACAGAAGTTTTATTCAACGAAAAATAGTCGGTAACAATTATTATGACGGCAAATTAAAAAAGTAAATACTAGTAAAAAAGACGGTAAAATTTCGCGGCACACCTACAGGGACTTCAGGGCACACCAGTGTACCGCGGCACACTGGTTGGGAACATCTGATGTAAAGGAACTATTTACTAAAAAGTGGTCAAAAATATGATCAAATCAACAAGGCCGAAAACGACCCAACTAGCTAGCATGCGCTGCGCAGGTGGCGAGGGAAATGTTTAAGTACCTTTTGAAGTAAGACCTCGATCCAAACGAAGTTCGACAACAGCCGTTAAATCCTCTCCAAAAACCACAAACAAAGATGTAACGTATACTCCATATATATAGGACAATAATGCCACACCACTCCTTTGTCTTAAATGTAGGAGGAAGAAATTTGAGAAAGGCCGAAAACGATCTAACTAGCAAGAATGCGCTTAGCAGGAGGCCAGGGAAATGCTTCCGAAACTACGAGGAAACGAGGTTTAACTACTGGCGTTAAATCTTCTGGTTATAATCTCCTAATCTTAAACATGATGTGGTACATACTCAAAATTTGAAGGACAATTAGGCCAACTGACTCCTTTGTCTACAATGTATGAGGAAGACAGATTAAGAAGATATACGAGGAAGGCTCTAAATATATAAAACATAAGGACATATAATTAACTATATAAAATTGTATATAAATTAATAAAATGAATAATTTTAGTATTTTTACTTACTGGAGAATACTGAGCTAGAGTATCTCGTGCGTCATTGTAATTCTTATAGTATTTTCCAACACCAATTCTTACATTATCTTCGCTTATTTTTCTTCCGTTTGCATCTGTTACACAATGCGCAGCTAAAATAAGTAATTAAGTTATTATCACCTATTTAAAACTCGGTAAGTACATCAAGTTAAACTAAGATTAAGTAAAAAGTTTTTACAAATTATCATTGTAATGCAATGTTAAGGTTTTCTTAAATTACATTGGGGTTTTTATTACTCCTTATATTATAGTTTCAGAGTTTATTGAAACTGTGTTATGTGTGTGTGTAGATAGTGGATGGCATTAGAACATGTATATTTGCCACAAAATATTTGTATTTTTTTTATTATTAAGGAAAGGATAAGGATAAAAACATGGCCACTCTTTCTTGTCTAGGGTTTTTTGTCTAGGTTTATTGTCTAGGGACCCATCAAGACATTTTTATTAAGAAAAACTAGACTAGGTCACTGGCAGAAGGTATTAACAAATGGGGTAAAACAGAGGTTTGGATGCTAATTACATAATGTTTGTAAATACACATATTTCACCATATATGAGCTAAATATCTATTTTTGCTTCTAAAACAAACTTGATTAAAATGTTGTATACTTCTGTCTCTTGTTGTGCTAATTAAGTAGGGATATTAGTTGGTAGACTTACAAAATTTTTCAGTTCTTGGTACAGCATATCTGTATATGCAGTATATTTTTGACACTCTAAGAAAATGTGATTTATATCGGCTAAAGATTTTTCTGGACAGTGAGGACAACACGGAAGAATCCAAAATATCAATCTGAAACAAATGTGCTGGAAAGCGACCATGATTAAGTTTTAAACGTGATATAATTGATGACTTATATCTATTATAATCCCATGAATTGATGTGAGGAATGTTCGTCGGTAAAACCGGATGAAGTTTCAAATAGAGACTCTCTGATGTAGTTGAAAATTAACTGTACTGAGCTTCTAATCTATCCCTAACTTCAGCATTGTATAAATTAATAAGATCTGATGAGTTGCACATGTTTACTGTCAATTCTGAGTCAAGTGCTTTTTTAGTTGCAAGATCAACTGCTTCATTGACAGTTATCTCTGCATGACCTCTAACCCAGACTAATGTAACTCGTACACCATACTCGTGCAGTTTATTTATACTATTTTTTATAAATAGTAGAATATTGTTGTTACATTGATTAAAAGGAAGGCTTTTAATGGTGTGCAAAAATGAGACAGAGTCTGTTACAATTACCACAGATAATGGTAAATTCATCTCGCTACAAGCATTCCTAATAGCTATAGCTTCTGCACTAAAAATCGATAAATAATGTGTGACTTGATATTGCTCAACATGGTTAATATTAGAAACTAAAAATGCACAGCCTGTTTTAAATCTTTTTTTTGATCCATCCCTATAGATGATTATTTTATTCTCTCTTAAATTACAGAGTATAAATTTGAAAATTAATTTTGATATAAATATATTATCTGGATAGTTTGGAATTATAATGGTTGGTTTAAATATTACGGCTTCAAAAATAATTTCGTAAACAGGATATTTTTTTGACTATGTATTAGTTCTTTATGTCTTTCAATGTCCATAAAAGCATCAGGAAGCGGGGGAGACGTTTTAATTATCCAATATTTGTTTGTAAGATTAATAAGTTTGATTTGCTATTTGGGGCATAAATAGTACATCCATAATCTATTATTGAGCGGATGTATGACATAAAATGTAAGTGATGTTTTAACATCTGCAACCCATTTATATTTAGAAACTAGACGCAGAATGTTGAGCCCTTTCTCACATTTTTGCTTTTCGTGTTTTATGTGGCTAGTCCATAGGAGTTTATTATCAATATAGATGCCAAGATATTTATATTCTTTCACTATGGGTATAGTAAAATCACATATGGTATACAAATCTCATAGTATGTAACCAATCACACATATAGCAAAAAATATACTCTAAATCTGTAATACATCATTCATATGAACTATGAATAGTATAGAAACAAATATCATCCGCGTACTGAATATCTTTTATAGTGTCATCCATCAAATTATGCAGCTCTGCTGTGTATACATTAAATAAAAGTGGACTCAATATTGATCCCTGTGGCAAACCGTTATTTACTGTTTGTTATACATTCTTCTTTACATATCAGTAAAAATTCTTAGAGGTCTTACATATTGCTTAAAGGCACTTACATGAAAAGTAATTTTAGAGGAATAAGATATTTAGAAGCTTACCTGTTATAATAACTTTTTGTGTCAGCATAGATCCTCCGCAAACATTCATAAACTCTCCTCCTTGCTTTTGAAATATAGCTGTCATCCATGGATAATCACCTTTTTCGACGTTTTGTCCATTTACTATAAGCGGTTCTGCAGTAACACGCTTCTGTCCACAAACTAAAAAAAAAATAAGAAAGTGAAATCATAATATATTAGACTGGTAGCCTTACTTGTTTGAATAATAGCCATTCCATCACCATCTTGAGAGGAACAATTCATGGGCAGGTCATATTCAATGACCATTGGGAAATATTTAAGGTAGAAAAAAAGTTCTAAGTTTCATTGAACAATTTGTAAAAAATACAAAAAACGCATATTACCATAAATATCTCGTATCACACAGTGATGTTCATCGATAGTAGTAATAAATTTTCAGATTACAGAAAAATCTCAATTAGTCTTTCATGCTGAAAAATCTAAAACCTGTGGATTCTGAATTTTAAGATTTGCATATAGTAGCAAGTATGGATATAGTTGGAATGTTTTGGGTCTACAGAAGGATGCTTACCCGACGAACTAGAGCAACTGTAGAGAATTACTAGACATGTACAGGTACCTGCCATGTCTTCCTAATAGTCGTCTTACTAAGTTAATCAGGTAGGAAGCCCCGACAGAAGTAAGGCCCTTAGGACGTCCACGAATACGATGGAGAGCTACCCACTGACCCAACTGTCATGGACAATCGTTCGAGATGGAAGCGAGTTGTGCAGTCAGCCAAGACCCACCCTGTGCTGTAGTGCTAAGAAGAAGAGTTAAGAAGGTAAAGCAAAAGATAATTCTTTACCTGCGTAATTGAGTTTTTCGATTCCAGTTGCTTCTGTTCGGAACTTTTGTTTTTTATGTTTTGAGCTTTCATTTTCCTCTACTCTTTAGTCTCTACTTCTTTGTTTTTTAACTTTTGTATATACTCTAGAACGGTATAGAAAAGCGTAGATTATGTTTGAACTTTTTATTCCATTATCTATTTTCTAGTATATATTGATAAATTAATAGGAGATAACGATTTTTAAGCCAGGTTTCTCCAAACAATTTTTAAAAAATCAATTTTTTTTTTAAAATGTTGTTTACTTTAATAGGTTCTTCTCGAAATCGCGTTTTTTCAATAACTGTCACTCATATTTTGAAACTATTGCGCATATCAACATAAACCAAACAGTATTTTACTCTTTAGATGTATCTCTATGGTCGGTACTACAATCCAAAATATTCATTGTTATTTATAAAAGTTATAAACAATAAAATATGCAAAAGGGTCAAAAAATTAAAAAGTCCGCCATCTTGTTTTTATTTTGGGTGAAAATGTTTCATTGTTGTACCGACCATAACCAATTCTGTACAGAATAACTAAACATTTTGTTTTTTGATTTCAAATGCTTCGTTTCCAAGAAATTATGACACTCACCAACAAATTGGACATTGGAGTTTGAGCAGCTATTTTCAAAGCCGCCATTTTGAAAAATAATAAAATACATTTTTTAAGTAGTTTAATGTATGTATTTTTAATGTATAAATAAAATTTATTTTATAAAAACACGTTTTTTGGAGAAACCTGGCCTTAATAATATGATATAATGATTTTAAAGAACACGGAAAAAAAGTAGCATCGTAATAGTCCCTTATTTATTACTCGCCCTAATTTTTTATAACACAGCAGTTATAAATGATATTAAATATTATAAAATCTTTATTACTGATTAAATAATTCACTACTTTTACGATTTACCCTTTACAATCAAAGGATTAATCCATAACATCATGCCGTCTTTTACTGTATTTGACTGAGCTCCAACACTACCTTCGGTTTAGCTATTTTCTTAGATTCTTGATTTTCATTTTTTGTAGTCATATTTGTATTTCGTATTAATGTAAAAGTTTACATAAGAATGATCGCAGAATTATTACAAAATCTGTTTCAGCCAAACAGTCCATTCGTCGAAGATTTGATCTCTAAAATCGGGACATCTCTAAAAAGATAACGAACAAGCTGAGTTTTGCTGGGAATGTCAATTTTGGGACCTCAAAGAAGATGTAAAAAAGTTTGCCACTTCTACCCTCCTCTATATTCCTAAGAGTTTCCCCTAAAACCGCCCCTCGTAGGGGGTATATCAATTTACCAAGAATCTGTACACCATAGAAAAAAAAATGTTTCGAACAAGAAATGTAGAGGAGATAATTTTAAACAAAAATGTTTATTAGCACTTTTTGTGTAGAATGGACCGTACCCTAAGAAACAACGCTTGAGCGACCGGCGATTTTGAATGTCAGTTAGGTGCGCGAAATCAACTTTTTTAATAAAATTTGTTTCAACTCGACTGTAAAAATTCAATATCTTTTGATAAAAGTGTCCTATCGACAAATATCAAAATTTGTTGTAAAGATGAAGAGTGCAGCTTTCGTATGCAATGTTTCCATTTTACTGCAAATAAATTTTCTATAAAGTTGATAAATAAATAATCGTTGCGCGATATTTGCCATTTGCGCGATACTTATGAGATCAATAAAATTTGAGACTTAATTGACCGTTCGCTGTGGAGTTTAAATTGTTATAGCTTAATCTTCAACACATATAACATGAAATTTCGATTTTGAGTTTCGACAACAAATATGAGACATTTGAAATATGACTAAAGAACGCTGAATTTAAATTTTCACATTACAAACGATCTTACGTAACGGAAAATGCTTCCACGAAGACGGCATTGTGTAAAATTTGTAGCTGAAGCTGTGTAGTTTCAAAAAACGTACTTGTGCAATCGAAAAAAAGTAGTTGTAAACATTTTAGATCGTTTCTTTTTCCTGGCGACCAGTCAACACATTTTGGGTTTCTTGGAGCCATTTTCGTTGAATTTACACTGATGTCTTCCTTTTAGATAATAAAAAATATCACCTTCGCAACAACTACCTGAAGTCACTAATAATAAACCCTGGAACTGGAAGTACCATGAAACTATTCTAAACGCTTCCGATTGGACGACTAAATTACGCAACTCATCATTGACTGTCTAGATATACATACTCTGACGCGACACAGTATTGCCAGTTGCCATTCACAAATCTCTCTTATAGCGGCTTCCTACGGTCCGCGATATTACGGACGTAAGCGGACCAGCACGCACCACGCACCGTGGGAAGGGTCTCGTCCGTGGTAGCGCAGGCACGTCTGTGCTGGTCCGTCCTATCCATCTAGAGTCGGTAACATCAAAGGTGCGGTACATGCTCGTGCGAAGCGATCCTAGCGCGTCTGTGTTTTAACAGACGACAAGTGCAAGTCAGAAGTTTTTCATTCGCTGACACGAGTAGTTTTCTGTAGTGTTGTCAAAGTTATTTTGAAGTTTTTTGCTAAAAAATGGAATGGACAAATGAAGTTATTTTTGATTTTTTAAATTTGTATCAAAATGAAACAAATTTATGGAATTCTACGGCACCAGAGCATAAGAAGCGGAACCGATATATACGATGTATGGAACCAAATAAAAAATAAATTGAAGAATAGTACTATTTCGATTAAAGAATTAAAAAAGAAGAGAAATAATTTAATGCCGAATTTAATGTTTACAATCCTGAGTGGCCTTTTTATGATATAATCAAACAATACTGTCACGGACCTACACAGACTGTCACGGACCGTGGGAAGAGCTCTGTCTGCGGTGCGTTCTCGTCCGTGCTGATCGGCTGTCCGCGATGATCTGTAGAATCGCCGACCGTGGGAAGCCACTGTTAGCTTGAATCTGTTTCCAAATTTTATTAAATAATGATGTAAATACATAAAATCTTAGCAGACATATAAAACAATACAAATGTAATTAAATTGATAAACTAAATAAATCACGATCATGAGAGTATTGCTGGAAAACAATATTTTTTGTAAAGTTTCTAGAATTTTGACCACTGTTGTATGTGAAACAAAGGGGTATGAATTATGAAAGTCAAAGTGTTAATACTATAGTATATTATAAACAGTTACTTATAAGAATCACAAAATAAATTACATTACAATTATTATATTAATCTTTATTTTTTTAGCTAGGCTATGCAACTATATATTCTAAAAGAATATCGAATGACTAATAACAAAAAAAAATATCTACCAAACTTAAGATAAAGGTAGTTGCTCGTCAATCAACTATTATTTATCCAGCTTTACTATTTGTACTTTTCTAAGAATATGGCACCTGTAGGAGATGAAAGATTCCAAAAAATAATCAGGAAACGTGCAAATGAGCAATATGTGCAAAGGAATTCAGATTTTGTTAAAAATAATAACAACGTTATATTAAATCAATTTTATATATTAAATCAAAAATATAAATAACATAACATATAGTGTATTTGATTACTAAATAAATTTCCTCCATTATGTAATACAGTATTTTTCACATTAAAATAATTGTACGTCATGATTTATTTCAAACTGACTTTACTTGGATTTAAAATTTCCATAACATCAACCTTAGAGTTCAAATTTCCCTAACACAGCTAATAATACAACACCCATACGGAACTGCTCGATCTGTCATATGCGTCAAAATAATATAATAATAAGAAAAATGTAATAGTGACTATATCGAGAATTTTAGAATTATATTAATTAAATAACCAAAAACATTTGTTATTATTAATAATATAAATTTTATGAAATAACTGTTTAAGTTTAATACTCCACAAAATAATAGTTTTAATTAAATAAATTAGACAATCGTACGCCACTGATACGGAAATACTTCAAAATTCAATGACGGTTCAGCTTTTGACAAAATTGTTTACAGTATTGACGCCTTTTTAGAGTAAGAATTTTGTTTATATGTTTTGATTTCTTACACAATTTGATTCCAATATATTAGATATACTTATTAATAAATTGTATTTATAAATAATTTCATAGGTGTAATTTTAATAAACATTCTCCAATGAACAGAATGATTCTAAATATATCTTGATTAATTTCTGTGTGCTTGAAGAATCTTTGTAAACAAAGCGTAAAGCGGCTATTGTAATTTTTTCAATTTGTATTTTGCTATTTTTCTGGACTGCAGTATATTTTTTGGTTTAATGTATCATTTTGTAATATTTTATATATAAGTATGGAATCCGTTAAAAAATAATTGTATTTTTTTATA